CTCTTTTTTTTTTTTTTTTAACTTTTAATGGGATCATTTATATGTACTGTCTAGGAAAACAGCAGAGTTATCTCCACTTATTATACATTACCAGATATTAATGTAACAATTCATTATCTTTAGCATTTGTTTGTATCAGAAATTAACTGGAAAGGGAAGTGAAATGTATTCAGTCTAATGAACTCCAGCTGTTAACAAACAACACTTACAATTCCTGGTTCTCTGTGGAGAGGAGAAGTCTGGTTGCCATAGCAGCAGAAGGCAGGTCACAATCAGGGCTACCATCTTGTTCTCTGAAGCATGTTTCTAGGTCAGTAGGTCATTCTTAACACCTGAAAATAAATAAACATTTTTCAATAGGCTTAAATGAAAACAACATCCAAATAAATTATTAAACATCACAGGGCTTTTAGTGTTATATCCCTATTTTGTCAAAAAAAACAAAACAAACAAACAAACAAACAAACAAACAAACAAAAAAACAATCAAAATCAACTGTTTATTGACATATCAAGACATTGTACTCTTTTTGTAATTCTTCATCAAGATAAAGATATGAAATGTTTCATCAATGACAGCACTAGAAACAAGAGGCCCGTGTGCCACATCCCTCACCTGAGCACTTTGGAAAGAGAGAAACAGAACTCAGTTCAATGCTGAATTAAAGTTTAAATATATAAATGGTCCCATCCTATCCTACGCCCAGGGGGTGATGATTTGAACATGTTGAACAAACTTGCTTCCGTAATAATATGACTAATCACGGCTCTGCTGTTCTTGAGAAGAAGATTTTAACCAATTTTCCTATAAATTTTCATGTAAACTCTGATTACCTAATGTGACCCCACCCTACCCTAAGGGGTCATAATTTGAACAAACTTAATTGAATCAACACTACCTGAGGATGCCTCTTTTTTTATTGACTAATCATGGATTTTTCATCAGAAAATGATTTGTTGCGATATTTCCTATATATTGTAAATCACTTTTTATTCACGAGAACTTTGTTTTTGCATAAATATGCGAGAGAGTGTGCTTGCAAAAATATTATTCTCACATATATTAGTATTCTGAAAGATTTAATAGAGCAGTAACCATAATTCGTAAAAAAAAAATATCTCACTAATAAAGAGTTAATGTCTATCTCGCAAAAATATTTGGTGATCTACAGTATTCCCAAGTAAAACTTTGATCCCCTGTTGTGGCCTTACCTTTACCCTAGGGGTCATGATTCTAATAAATTGGAACTAAATACGCTATGTAATACAGCTTTCACATACATAAGTTGCAACTTTTCTGGCCCAGTGGTTTTTGAGAAGAAGATTTTTGAAGTAACTATGCCTTTTTTTGAAACTTTTTAAAACTTTTATTTTCACTAAAGCCCCTATATGGGGTATTGTTTAACAATTGAACAAATCAACATGTGAACAGTTAAAACATAATGAACCATAATATGTACATTTTCAGTAATTCTTATTATCTCCCCTTGAAAGAAGGCCTGTCCTTTCATTTGAACAAAATTGAATCTCCTCCAACCAAAGATGTTCTGTGGCTAGTTTTGTTGAAATTAGCCCAGTGGTTCTGGAGAAGAAGTAAAAAATGTGAAAAGTTTAAGATGACAGACAATGGACAAATTTTGATCAGAAAATAGTTCGCCATTTTGACTCACAGGTACTTGTGGATGTGGACAGGACCCCCCCCCCCCCGTTATTCAACCCCAGGGCTTGTTGGACTTTTTTTTTTCGAAAATTATATTTATTACACTTATTCATCATGCGTACCATAGGAAAAAATCGTGAAAACCCCAAAATAATCGTTCCACACAAAAATACCCCACTATACATTATAAGAGAGAAAGGTATGCCACTCCGGTTTGTTTACGTTGTACCCCCACTGGTCTTTCTGGGTTTAAAAACATGTATTTATGTTATTTTAACCTAAAATGTCGGCTCACACTGTCTCTACATATATTTCTGTCTTAGTTCATGCTATCGGATTGACTATGCATCTCGTAAGAATCCCACAATTAATCCTTAAACAGCATTGCAGTCAGCAAAAAATCTTTAGGTAAACGCAACGGAAGTGAATAGAAAATATATTACCTATTATGATAACACCCAAGAGAGATTATTACGTCAGGCCAAAACTCTCTCGGACGTTATCGTAATAAGTGATACATTCTTGGTGTACTTCCGTTGCGTTTACCTTAGGATTTTTTTGTCCACCATGTCCACAAGTACCGGTGTTTTGGCAGGTGAGCTAAAAGTGTTAGATAAAGTGTAATCACTCATACAAGTGTAAATCAAAATTAAAACCTGGATGACTCAAAGTTATTCAGTTTTCAGTCACAAAAATGAATGCATTGAGATTAACATGATTAATAATTAATTCAATAAATATACATATAAAGTTCAGGTCAGTATATATTTTTTCCCAAACAGGTTAAGCGTTGTAGCGTTCACTCTTGCTACACATACGGATTAAACCCGATCGACTTAACACTCTCGTCATTGAAGACATTCATTTATTGAACCGGAACTAAGACCAGGGTGATAACTCAACATAAAATTAAACATACAGAAATAGAGTAATCTTTCTTACATGAAACACTTACAAGTACAAACACTACATCCCTTCCTTTCTCGCTCAAAAACAACTATAATTCTCAATTAATACTATCTTCTACAATTCACACTTAAGTGATACTACTTTGTATCAACAGAAATCATAGTTTATTGTCCAAAGAAAAATGACAAGCATATATTGTAGAACATACAATGTACACTCAGTTAATAGTACATCATTTAGCATACATGATCCAGTTCACATACAGTCTAAGACTACTACATGGAAAATCCTTCAAACCTTGATGGAAGTTTCTTATTTCTTACAGGTCTATGGCACGCCGATTGCTTCAAAATTATTTTCTGCACGACCTTAAACAAAAACTACACGAGTAAGTAAAAACTTACACAAAGTGAGGAAAATATACACAAAGTTATTGAAATTTACAAAAACTATAGAAAAACTGCACAATCAACAAAATATTTACACGATATAGTGAGAAAATTACACAAACGTAAAAACGAAAACTGCACGAGTGAGAATACAACATCGACATAATACGCAACGCATCCTCATTGCGCACATTTCATTAATATTCATTAGAGAACAGGTCAATGTGGCTTGGATGCTTGAAACATATTATAAATACAAAAGGAGGAGTGAAGTGTTAGTAATCTTTTTAAAAAAGATTCTTTTAAAATTCCGCTAGACTCTCAAGAATATGTACAACGTATATTATACATGTGATAAATTGACAGGCACAAAATCTTAAACTTGTAGTATATGAATACTCCCGAATAAAAAGCATTCTACAAAGAATACATGTATAGATAACGTAAAAAATAAGGGGGGGGGGGGGTGCATATTACAGTTGTGTGTTTAATTGTTGGATTCTTTTTAGGAGGTCATTCCTCTAGATAGCAATTTCTTTTCAAAGTTTAAACAATGACATATAGGCCTAAATTATATAAATAAAAACAACATGTGATATAATACAGAAGAGTTAACAACAAATCAAACTCTTCTCCTTCACCACCCACTGAGTGTACTTTTGGTAATAATCAAGGATGTGCATGCGTGACCTTTTCATACAGAGATCCCTCCCTGCTGATTCTGGAACGAAAGACACCTGTACGCTAATCGATTTATAGCTATTTCACACACCAATAATACTTTTTGATTAAAGATTACTGGCAATTCATACAAGGATTTTGAAGCAATGTTGCGATCATCTGGGTTGTGGAATTTGACCGAAAACTTTTTGGAAGTCAACAGTAAAGAAAATCGAGCAAATAATTGCGCAACTGAAATTTTAATATTAAAACGCATATCTCACTTTTTGATATATGTATGTAACAAAGTAGTACATGTAGTCTTAACTTTTGAGCAACGTGTGGTGATTTCATAAAACTCCATGAAACTGTAGAAAAATTATACAGTCGTTTTACTTATGTGAATTAAACTTTAATTTTACGTTGTTTTTAATGTACCGGCGGTAGTCTATCTTGAATAGTTAAAATGCTTATAAAGGCGTGAAGAAAATTTAAAATTATAAAATACAGGAGTAGTCAAGGCCGTACGTATAGGTCATTTTTTCCCGCCAAATTCGGTGTAACATAGGACATACGAGGGGAGGGGTTAAAACTGTTACCCCCGGGGAATTAAATGGGTACGACTTAAAGGGGTCTTTGAAAACAAATGATACCCCCGGGGAATTCAGGAGGGTGCACCCCCGGGGAAATATATAGATACAGCTATAATTGGATACAGATAATTGGATAACCCGGGAATTCATTAAGGTGCAACAATTTCCCGCCATGTATCCATACAGTATGATTTCGGATAATTTTGTTAGCCTGGAATAACTGCATTATTTTCTAAGTTTTCATAGTGATCACTGTTCCCTATTTGAAGAATTCTTATTGGGTAAACTTTTAAAATAGAAACCTATGTACTTACCCAAACCTTTTTCCAGCCAAATTTAATGTAAACTTTGGAAATAAGAAGAGAGGGGTTAGATCCGATACCCCTATGGAAATAGATTTGTATGGTTTTAAGGGGTCATTGGAAACATTTGATACCCCCGGGGAATTCCTGAAGGTGTACCCCAAAGAAATGTCTAGGTATGGTTTTAAATGAGTCAGTGAAAACATTGGAATTTAATTAGGTGCAACAATTTCCCGCCATGTATCCATACAGTATTATTTCGGATAGGTTTTTATAGTTATCACTGTTACCTATAGGAAAAATGCTTAATTGTTATACACAAAAAATAGAAACCCATGTACTTTACCCCAAACCTCAGGATATGCAAGAATAAATTATCCCTGATATGGGTAAATAATCAAGATTTTAAATGGACTGCAAAAATATTTTATTATACATGACTAATTACATACTGACAATATTTTTTTAAAGCACAACATACTGTGCAACTACATCCCGTATGGGACAGATTCTTGTCCTTGTAGCACACGTTTATCAAAAACAATTTTATAGTCTTTTTCTTCAACCTTGGTGATGATGTTCATTGTTTTAGTGTCTCTTGTAATTTTGTGTAAATCGGTAACAGTAATTGTAGTGTCATTTTGGTCTTGGTCCATGTTTTGAACCATTTCTTTGATAGTTTCAAAATTAATTTTCTGTAGATTAGCGTAACTCAGGGTAATTCCTCGTACTTTGCACTGAGAGATCTTCCCGTCAGTTCCAGAATTTTTTAAAGTGTATGCATAATTTTTAGGACCACCGGTCACAAACACTTCGATTTCATTGTCAGGAACTTCATCTGTTAAGTCCCCAAGGTAATCACCCAGTTTTGGCTCCCATTCTCCAGGTTTTGTGGTGAATACTACCGAATCGGTGTCGACATAAAGTACTCTTCTGTCAAGTTTTTCCAGGTAAGAGTAAAGTTTGAGTCGAGCTTGTGCTGTTGTGTAAGCTGCAATGACGACATTCGTTCTCCCGGTGTTCTCAATGAAATCATCACTGTTAACCCACTGAATACGTACCATTTCGTCATTAACAAAACTGACATCCAAGACGTTTTGTTCATCACTAGTAAGTATATCAAAATACTGCACAGGCTCAGTGAGATACTGTGTCTTTGGTAAATTCAATCTTTGTCCAAATTTTCCCCAGAAGCTATTCAACATTAATTTTGCAAGAGCTCTTAAACCTGGATTAAATTTGATTTTGTCATATTCTAGTAAAATCCCTTCCCTGACAAAATAATCATTTATGTATTCCCTTTTGTCTTCCTCTGTTTTACACCAATCAGGCCAACCACTTGCCTCTTGTTTCACCTTGAGGAACGTATTTACATAATCTGTAAAGATTCCCCCATTTTTCGTTAATGGATTATACTGAGAAATATTTTCAAAGTGCCACACCTCGTATATTTCCGTAACCTCGTATCCTTTTTCAATCGCTTTTTTCAACTCATCGGTGACCCATGTACCGATAAACGAACGATCTTCGTCAAGATGTGTACATTTTGACATTTGTTTTGTTTCCATGCAAGATTTGCAGAGCCCAAATAAGAGTTTACCATTTATTCTTGTTGGTAAAACAGGTATGAAGAGTCCCTTTGGAGGTAAAACTTTACATTTTATAAGCCCTTCATAAGCAGAAATGTTCTTGAAATTTTCTGTGATAATGTCCGGATGTCCTATGGGAATTTTCCCAGTCTTGTTTATGAAGGGATAAAGGGATGTGACATCATAATACTTGATTGATGTATTTTCATCTGCTTCTGCAAACAGTTTAAAAGCTTCTGTTCTTCCACCGAAGAAAGCATCCCGAGGACAAAGTGGAGTTTGCCAGTTAAGATCGGTAATCATCTTCTTCAATTCGACATCTTCTGTGACTTTTCTATCAAATTTTTTTTCCCATTCACAGATATAGGTGTATCCTTGGTTTTGCAAATACTGTTGTTTATCCATAGTCTCCTGATAAAGTTCTCCCATTGTGAGACCACGTACAGGGTTATATGTGTCTGCTGAATAAGACTCTGGATTTCCGTGCCAGAAGTCTCCGTGGAATTCCAACACGACCCTTTCCCCATCCGTTTCGTAATAACCATCGACTTTATAGGGCCCTATGACCTTCTCTCCACCATTTCGGGCATGTTGAATTTTCACTCCAAATTTATGTGACATGTATTTTAACCACTGGATTGCCTTGATTGAGTGTTTTGTTTCAGGTTTATATCCATGAGGTGGAATAATTCCTATACAATTCTCCTCCAGGAAATGTCTTCGAAAAACTAATTGACATGCCGATGCAATTGTAATGCAACGCTGAAAAGGGTCAATCCCTTCCTTGCCATTAACTGCTGTCATTTCTTCGAAGAGTTCTTTAAATCTAAGTCAACATCTTTGAAGAATATCCACATCTGACCTGCAGTACTTGAGAAGCTCCTTTTGAAAGTCAAATCCGTCGTTTTTGTGTTCCTTATACCACTTCAAAAACCTTTCTCTTTTGTCTGGTTTCATTCCATCAGGATGATAGTATTGAATGTCGGGTAAGTGTTCCAAAACAACTGTTTGATTTTCTGTGGTGTTAAATAGATGGGGAAAATATCCCTTTGCCATTTCTGTAAATCCGAATGTTTTAGGCATTTTTTCCAATGCCATGGGTATAAAATTGATTGAATCGAGAAATCTTATGTTACATTTTGGTACATCAAGGCACATCAACTTAGAGCCATTCATTATGACCTCGGGAAGAATGCCGTTTTCATACAAATAGTTCATATTCGGATAACTGTCATATCCTTTGAAATTGTGACAAATAACTTTTGCATCTCTGTTTTCCTCTGAAAACAGCCATTTACAAAACTCATTTCTTGTATCTGAACCATGAAAAATAAGTTCATTTTTTCCACAGTTGTCGCAAAAACTTTCTGAATCTATTTTTGTAGTTTTGCAATCGTTGCAAACTCGTTGCACAACACAAAGATTTGGTGTGTGTTTTTTCGTTCCACACCAGGTCTGTTTACAGTTGACGCAGTTTTTATCCATGGTTTACTTTTGGTGCCCTTTGCTACACTCTAAAACTTGATCCTGTGTGCACTCAAAATCAAAAAATATGTACACATCTGGATCATCCTCGTCGGGTTCATCTTGGTTCCGTTTCTTTCTATTGTTGAACTCGGCGGTCTCCTGGCCTTCATCTTCGCAAAGAAATTCAGTTACATCCGGTTCCATAAAACATTGATGATTTTCGTCTACATAGTCTTTACATGTATTGCAATACTTCTCACCGCAAATATGTTCCCTTTTGTGTAGACTTCTGTTGACTGTTCTGATGCAGTGCTGACATTTGTAGTACGATTCACAAGTATTGCGACCTTTTACAGGTTTGATTTTGTGTAACTCAAAACATGTTTGATTTTTAAAGGATCTATTGCAATCAGGACAAAATTTCCAATTTTCTGACATGTCTGAATGAAGTTTATGACAGCACCTGCATACGTTGTTACAAAAATGTCTCTCTTTATGGTCATAACCTTTATTACATTTGGAACAAAAATAACTACGGCTTAGAAACCCTGCTACTTTTGTTATAACATCAAAATGATCGTCATGGTGGTAAAGATAAATTTTCTTTGTCGCATCGTGTCCCTGGTAAACCAGGGCATTGAAACTGTCTTTTGACAGTACGTTGATTTGGAATTCTGGAAGAATTTTCTGAAACTGATGCAAATCATTTATGGTACATCTGCGCATGGGTACACCGGCTTTTCTGTGAAGTTGAATCGCTAGATCTGTTTGAATTTTACCCCCATGTCGAATGCGTTCCCATCTTGGGTGTTTTTCAATGCGAGCCATTGCGGTTACTATTGCTCGAGCACAACAGAGGTTATCTGAATTGTTGATGCGGATAATTCCTCGTTTTTCTTTTAACATTTTAGCCAGATCTATATACTTGCATCTTTTCCCAACGCCACCAGATGGAAGTCGAACGTGAATGATATCGAAATCAAGGGATTCGTCTAGAACAAACTCTTCATAAGATTGTAGAACACGTTCTATTTCCGACAAGAAAGTCTCCGATGTTAATTGCGATAAACGCCTGAATGGTATAGTGATGGGGAAATCCAGTTCTGGAGACTGCACTGATAGACGCACAAGATCATCTTTACTCATGTATTCAGTTATATCCTTTAATATTGACGTGAACAGAATTTTCAAACTTCTTAAAATGTTTGGTAAATTTCGGATTTCCAGCCCATGAAATGTGACCTTGTATCTCATGGATAGGGTATTAAACTTAGGCATGTTTTGTTCATCCACTGCTCTGATGGTGTAACTATCTTCAGGACTATCATATTTAGTAATTCGTCTTTTGACTCTTCTTGACGCATTTTGGTCTAATTTCCTTTTGGATCCTCTGCCCTGTTGCAAATGCTGGTTTTGTTGATGTAGGTCTAAATTGTCTTTTCTCCCAAACACTTTATTGCAAATTTCACACTCATAATATATGTTGTTTCCGTGCTTCTCTCTGTGAGTTTTAAGGTTATCTTCCCGTGCAAATTTTTTGTGGCATATGTCGCATTCGTATACATCTTGGTGACCCCATATTCTTTTGTGACTGTGCAGTTTGCTTGGTTTTGAAAATGATGCATTACATTGGCTGCATCGATATCGTCTGTCCATGTTCACTCCTATGCTGTTGACTGTAAAAAGAATACTCATGGTCTGATAATTTCAATTTATAATACATTCTATGACGTGATTGGTTAATATTTTGGAGGTACATAAAATTTTAATATAAAAGGAACTAAAATTTTGTATTGGAATTCATTTTCCACAAAGTCAGCTACTTGAGAGCATGTTAAAAACCGAGTGTCCCGATTGTTCCATGAAATTTAGTAGACGAGATGTCATGTTGAGACATTATAGAAATAAGCATTTACACATGGATTCTACTGGGACATCCGATGGGTTGCCGCCGCCCCCGCCGCCGCCGGTATTGTATCAAGACATAGAAGCAACACCGCCGCCGCCGCCACCACCACTATTACCACCGCCGCCGCCGCAGAAACAGCAGCAACAGCAGAATGAAATAACACCGCCGCTATCTAGATCACAAGATTTAAAACTAAATCCATTTACGATTTTATCAGCAGATAACAAAATGGATGTAATTGCAAACAAGCCAAAAAATGAACAAATGGTCAATTTAATTCATCCTTTTACTATGATTGTGTCAGGTCCTACAGGCTGCGGAAAAACTTTTCTTCTGAAACAGTTTTTAAGTAGAGTTCAGGATTTTTGCAACCCTTCTCCTCAACGCATTGTTTGGTTGTACAAACGATGGCAACCTCTGTATGATTTGATACTCAGTGTTGTTTTGCCTAAGGTCGAGTTTATCCAGGGAATACCCATCGATCTTGATCAAGATCATTTCTTTGATACTAATGTAAGAAACATGATTATCATTGACGACCTCATGTCACTTTCTTCAAAGGACCCAAGAATCAATGACTTATTCACAGAAGGAAGTCATCATAGAAATCTGTCTGTTATTGTTTTGAACCAAAACTTGTACTTTGGAAAGGATCCAACCCAGAGACGAAACTGTCAGTATCTGGTGCTGTTTAATAATCCTGTTGATAAACAACCTATTTCAACACTTGCTCGACAAATGTATCCCGGAAAAGCCAGTTACTTTATGGACATATTTCAGAGAGCGACAAATGAACCTTATGGTTACATGTTTGTGGATCTTAAACCGACAACAAAAGAAGTTCTACGATTGAGAGAAAATATATTCACTTTGTCACGTGACTCAACGAATTCTTATAATGACGTCACTCCTGCCACCACTAAGTATATAAAAGAAACGACAGGGATAAAAAACAGTCAGTTTCTATCCGAAAGTTCACCAGTTAACACACCAGAACGCCTATATTTTGACAACATGCCTTCTTGTGATGATTGTGGATTAGTTTTTGACAACATACATGATGTACAGAGACACATCAAAGAGAACTGGTGTCCTGCTCGACAGAAACGACAGAGGGAATCGGACGAAGATGATGAACCTGTTTCTCCAAAGAAAACCAAATGGTTAACACTGTCAGATGTTTACGATTCTGACCCCACATCTGATCCAGAAGACGATGACGTTGAAATCGAGGATAATACTGCTTTTCAGGACATGTACGCTGATGCTTATAACCAAAATGAAAAAATATGGAAGAAAAAAGCAAACAAATATGTTGAAGACGGTTTACCCGAGAATGATGCAAGACTGCAAGCTGACGAAGATATCCGAGAATTTGTAAGACGAGATTTCTTCAAAATATACACCAAGGTCATAGAGCAAGAACTTTCCCTAAACAACACTTTGGTACATAGGAACATTCTAGACAAAGTTAAAGACCTGATTGATCAAGATGTCAGTATAACAAGGGCCGTTCGGAAAACAATAAAATCACATAAAGACGATTTTGATGCCCTATTGGATCAAGAAAATGAATCAGAGGAAGATGTCACGAATGATTCTGAGTCGGAAGATTAAACCATAAATTACACAACTTGCTTTCAAATCAAGCAGTCGTTCCATGTTATTCAGACGATCAACATCATGGATTGGGAAAAACAATTAGAGAAAATTTACTTTAATCCGTCACATCCTGCTAGTTTGAGCGGCGCCGAAAAATTGCAGCACTTTTTAAAGAAAGTCGGTCGTGATGTTTCGATATACAAGATTCAAAAATGGTTACAACGCCAGGAGCCTTTCAGTTTACAACGACAAGTTAAAAGAAAGTTTAGAAGAAGTCCTGTTATTGTACAAGGAATTGATGACCAATGGGATGCCGACCTGATGGATATGACAAAATTCGCAAAGTACAACGATGGAGTGAAATTCATATTAGTGGTTATCGATATTTTTTCAAAGTATTTATGGTTGAGACCTTTAGAAAATAAACAAGGATCTTCGGTGGAAAAGGCACTAACAGATATTTTGAGTGGTCAACGTATTCCAAATAAAATTCGTACTGATAAAGGCCAGGAATTTCGTTCTAAACAAGTGGGATCCCTTTTGACAGAAAAACATATCAAACATATACTTGCTCAAAACACGGAAATGAAGGCAAACTACGCTGAAAGAGCTATAAAAACAATAAAAACCAGAATGTACCGATATTTCACTTACAAAAACAATTATAGATATATCGATAAACTTCAAGGATTTGCTGATAGTTATAACTCGACTTTCCACAGTACTATTGATACCGAACCTATTAAAGTTACCCATAAGAATGAAGAAGAAGTACGAGTGTCAACATTCCTGTCACGAGAAGAGAGATATGGAAAACCCCTCTCTATTAGTAAACAACCTTACAAATTCAAGATCGGTGATAAAGTACGTGTGACCTACATATCAAACTTATTTACTCGTGGATACGACGAGAAATGGTCAGGGGAAGTTTTCACAGTGGCAAAAAGATATCTCAGGAATTCTTTACCTGTGTACAAACTGAATGATTTTAATGGCGACGAAATACAAGGAACATTTTATCAAGCAGAACTTCAAAAAGTAGACATTAAAAGGGATGATTTATGGAAAATTGAAAAGATTCTCAAGACCAGGGGTTCCGGTCGAAATAAACAATATTTTGTAAAGTGGCTCTATTGGCCCTCCAAGTTTAATTCATGGATAAATGCACGTGATATTCAGATTTGACTTAATTTTGATTTAAAATGTACATATCTGGTACGTACATATAAAAGTTCACTGTATTGCATTTTATCTTTTTTAGTGTATCATAATATTGTTCTATACTCGTATTTCTGTGACTCGAAGAGCAAATAAAAAATTCTATGAATAATCTGAAATTATTTTATGTCTTATTACGGAGCACGAACCTACTCTATGTTTACATCGTCCGTTACGGTATTAAATCCAGTCTTTCAAAAATGTACTCGTCACGGTTTAGTGGCGCGCACTGCTTAATTCATCTGACAAGGGTCCTCCCTGATCTATTTCTGAACGCGCACCTTCAAGTGCCTCCAGAAATCTTGTCTTTTTATAGCTGACCCAAGTGACTGTGAAAATTCTTTAACTTCATTGGTTACGCCATGTCACGTGATGAGTAATAACGCTTCTATTTTTTAAAGTGGAGGGTAGTCTACAGTCATTGATGACGTGGCATATGGATTTCCCTTATCATCACAATTTTGGAGTTCACAGTCAATTGCAGTTTACAGTCACCGATGACGTGGCATTTAAAGGGAGTTAATTGTGGTCGTAACAAAAACATCTCTCGAATAATACTTATACATTCAATTCAAAATAAAAGAATTTATATAATAAAATGATTTTTAAAATTAGCGCAACAATCTTATCTCCTTAAAATTTGAATTCGATTTTTATTTTAATATATGATTTTCGTATTATTTATTTTTAAAAATTTTATTAAAAGTAATTAATTATGTAAAGTTTATAACATTGTTTAATGAACAGAATTATTGAAGTCACTTTATAAGATGACATCACACATGAGTCCCCTGAAGGAAACATATTATTAAAAATGTCAAAATTTGTCCCGGAATAGGACCAAGGAAATTAAATATTTCATTATTAGGAATCTTATCCTTATTCCCGGTTGCCTCAAATATTATCTATTTCTAAAAGAAAAAAGTTCTCTCGTACATAGACATGATACATAGTGAATGATTTAATGACAACAAAGTGGCACAAAAATAAGTTAATTATTTCATGCTTATAAACATTACCAGAAATAATACTGTATGGATACATGGCGGGAAATTGTTGCACCTTAATGAATTCCCGGGTTATCCAATTAAAACCCGGTTGCCGTATCTATATATTTCCCCGGGGGTGCACCCTCCTGAATTCCCCGGGGGTATCATTTGTTTTCAAAGACCCCTTAAAGTCGTACCCATTTATTTCCCCAGGGGTATCAGTTTTAACCCCTCCCCTCGTATGTCCTATGTTACACCGAATTTGGCGGGAAAAAATGACCTATACGTACGGCCTTGACTACTTACAGGCACGTAGTATCGTTTTTGAAAGGGGGGGGGGCAGCCACATTTTTTTTTGTTGACAACCTGAAAAAAACCTTGACAAGCAACAAAAAAGGTAAAGTGTACAAACTCAAAAATCCTATTTCGTGGGGGGGGGGGGGGGGGGGGGGGGAGGGGGTCCACCTTCCACTTTCTTTTCGAAACACATTATAATACCAAATTACTTTGATTTAAACTATCCTACAACGGGGGGGGGGGGGGGGGCAACAAGCTTTTCAGTGGACATTTACAATAGAAGTAGGTTATGTTTGGAAAAAAGGGGGACAGGCCCATACTGATGCTACGTGCCTGAAATATTTTCTAAGAATTTAAGGGTACATATAATAGTCTATCGAAATCAGGATTGCAATTTAACTGATTTGTAACGATATTGTAAGAACAAATTCAAGAAGATGTACAAGATGAACTTAATTAGCTGGGACTTGGCTACACATGCATATTTATTTTCAATGCAGATTTTGGCAATAATAAATTTGTACACGGTAATAAAACAAAAATTTCTTGAAGTTTATATTCATCATATGTTTTCTTATTTTTATTCGTCGTCATTGCTCGAAGTAAAAACAAGACCTGGTTGATGCCATTGATACACATGTACAATATTCCTATAAAGCAAACTTTTAATTACTTGTACATATATACGTACAAAATTCATATTGCATAGATTAGGCTTTTTAATTCATAATCTGAATTTTCAAAAATGTTAGATATGCACATGAATAATCCTTTAAAAAGTGGAGCTTGTATCAAATATGTTCCTTGAATGTTATTGAAAATTATTTTCATTTTATAATTATACAGTCATGTTCCTTTTATAATGACTATGTCTTTAGGTAAAAAGGTGTTATTATAAAAAAAACAAGTGTTCGGATAATAATTAAAATTTTATGCATACAAATTCGAAATGTAAAGAAAATTTGTTATCTTGGAAAATCTTTGTCAAATCTCGAGCTCCATAAAGAACATGATTTATTTGCTTTTTTCAAGAGCGATAAAACGCGTTCCATGTTCTTTCTATTTATTATAATATCCATTCCCATTTTCTTATTTGTAACATTATACGTAGATGTATTTAGTAATTCACTATGTTTTAAAATTTCTGACGTGTCATTATGGTCCAACGATTTGAAACTTTAATAAATACATAGATTCAGATGTTGCGACTCAATCAATCCACGAACCAGATCCGCCACTAATGTCATTAATTTAACCGGTGCCAGGATCATTTGAGTAGAGTTTTGTTATTTCATTTGGACAAATTTTAAGTGACAAAACACAAAACCGCATGTATATAAAGCACATAGAGTATATATTTTTCCTTTATCTGGTCCTTTTTATTAAAAGTGAAAACATTTATCAAGTAATCGCCATTACGAATGAGGGTAACGCTTTTCCTTAGGAATGTCTTGTTTTTTATTGAGCAGTTTTTGACTGAAAATATGCGATATCATGGAAGGAATTCATAACAGTGTAGGCTACAGATATCCAACCAAAATTGATATCCTCATATTTTATAAGCAAAGATACATGTATAATTAGAAATATTTTTTCATGTTTGACTTTAAAAAACATAATGTATATATCTAAGGTCAAGTAATCCCCACTTTTTAATCTTTTTGAAAATAAAAAAAATATATCCAGCTAACTCCCAAATGAAAAAAAATCTGCTCAAATGAAATCATAATTAGTACAAATGAGAAGTACCGAAATAAATTCTACAATTTAATGATTATAATCAGCAATTATTCTGCCATCATTTTCATGAAGAATCCACTTCATTAATCGTTTTATTATGCATGTGTTAATTTTATTTTATACAAGTAATTTCCGTTAAAGTTGTATCTATAAGTTAGATAATTTTAAAAGGCCATAGAGCGTATGTTTAAAAAAAATAATTAATAATTCTATCATTTTTTAAAGCAAGATCTGTTTATCGTTAGGAATTTAGAGTTTGCTATGTATTACTTTTAGTTTAGAGTCGTGTGCATCATATGCAATGGTACTTTTTCCCCCGCATTATAACACAAACATGCGATTTCTTTCTTGTCACAATTTATGTCCGGCATCATATAATACCTCCATATTTTGGCTAGGATCTCGGTCAATATAAGAAAAATATAATCTCTCCGAACAACTTTTAAATTTTTTTCACACAGTTCACAAGAAAACACTTCATTCGTTTGATTGGCATTAGCTAGAAATCGGATTGAGCTTTAGCAAAGAAATAAAGAAGCAAACAAACATGCATATCATCGTCAACGCCATTTTCTCTCGATTACATCCAGCATTCAAGAAGAGATAAAGAGTACAGAAAACCAAGAACACAATGAATATTCTATGTACATAATAATGATATTCGCAGCTGTATGCGCAGTAAAATTGTTTGTGTAATTTTTAGTTTCCTCTGCTCGTGCAGTTTTTGACTTTACGTTTGTGCATTTTATACCCATTAATCGTGTAAACAATTTCGGATTCGTGTATTTTTCGTTATGTTTGTGTTAAAATCTTTCAAACTATGTGCAATTTTTACCGATACGTGCATTTTTATTTTACTCGTGTATATTTTTCTTCAAGCTCGTGTATAAAATCGCAATCGTTGTGCAGAAAATAATTTTGAAGCAATCGGCGTGCCATACAGGTCTGTGACTGACATTTAGATCACTATTTTCAATACTTGCATCATTAGAAATACTAACAGGTGCAGAACTACAATCACTCTCTGGTTTACAATCAGCATTTGTATCAAGTTTCATTTCGCAGTTATCATCAACAATTTCATCACCAACAACAGGTTGTGGTTCATTATATTGTAACTCATTTGATCTGCAAGTACTTTCTCTCTCATTAAATTTCTTTAAATGAGTAACGTTTCGTTTGTATTGTATTCCCTGATCTGATTCTACAATCGCACTGTTACCCTTCATTTGAACAACTTTAAAAGGTGAGGTGTTGAATGGAGTGGACAATTTATTTTCACGGTCTTGTTTCACAAGAACTTGGTCACCGGCACGAATATCGGTCTCTGTTGCCCTACGATGTTTATCTGAATACATTTTACCCTTTTCCTTTCTTTCCGCATCACGGTCGCGTAATTCAAGATCATCAACATTATAGTCGAAAAGCTCAGGCAACTTTGTGCGAAGTTTACGACCAAAAAGTAACTGAGACGGACAAACACCAGCTGTGGAATGTGGTGTATTTCGATACATAACAAGAAATTTGTCAAGTTCAGATTTCCAATCTCGGCCTTCAGCAAAAGCAATTCGAACACGTTTCATAATTGACCTATTTTGCCGTTCTACCTCGCCATTTGCCTGCTGCCATAGAGGAGTTGTCCTGTGATGAACTATGCCATTGTCTAACATGAAATCCTTAAAATGTTCACTTACAAACTGAGGACCATTGTCAGTGTGGATTGAAAATGGCAATCCATGAGTTAAACAAAACTTCGAGATTAAACTTGTTATGTTCTCTGATGAAATACTTTCCGTGACCGCGACCTCAAAATATCTACTGTAATAGTCTACAAGCACAAATATATACTCTTTACTTGGCAACGGACCTAAAAGATCTGCGGCAAGATGTTGCCATGGCGCGGAAGGCAATTCCGTGCGCTTCATCGGTTCGGGTTTACTGGGTTGACCCACTAACTGACAACCGTAACAACTCTTGCAAAATTTTTCAACACTCTTATCCAACCCTGGCCACCATACTTTACTTCTTAACAGCGATTTCATCGCAACAATGCCAGGATGGCCTTCATGCGCAAGCTCCAGAACCTGATCACGCAACTGCAAGGGTATAACAATTCGTGTACCGCGCAATACTAACTTTCCAATCGAGCACAATTCAGCACGTACTGGTAAATATTGCTTAAACTCCATACGATGCCATTGTTGTGTAACAAGACACTGTCTTACAGAACACAGTTCTGGATCACTCTCTGATGCTCTCTCAATCTCGCGCGTCGTCATCGCCATCGGTGTAGCTTCTTTAGCTACAAACCTAACATAAGCATCTTCTAAATCTAGCGACTTTTGAGCAGGGTCATTCTTAACAAGACGCGAAAGCGTGTCTGCGATATTCCTTGGACCAGGAATATACCGAACTTTGAATGTGTATGGTTGCATTCGCAGCACCCATCGTTCTATTCTAGCACAGACTTTTGACTTGGGAGAGTATATACATTCAAGCGGCTTGTGGTCAGTGAGTAGCTCGAACTCTGTACCGTACAGATAAACATGAAACCTTTCACACGCCCATACTAAAGCTAGGGCCTCTTTCTCCGTCTGTGAGTAACGGCGCTCAGTATCACTCAAGCTGCGGCTTGCGTATGAAAGAACACGATGTTCTCCACTTTGCTCTTGCACAAGCACCGCCCCGAGTCCTACAGGACTAGCATCAGCTATGACTTTTGTCGGCGCAGATTTGTCATAATAACCCAATGTTTCGGCATCTGCAAGTCGACGCTTTAACTCTACAAATGAATCTTGTTCTGATTTTCCCCATCTAAAAATTGAATTCTTGCGTGTCAACTCCCGTAGCGGAGCTGCTACCGTTGCTAGATCTGGAATAAATCTAGAACTATAATTTACAAGCCCTAAAAAACTGCGCACTTCACTAGAAGTTTTCGGTTCGCGCGCTTCGACAACAGCTTTGAATTTGGCATCCGACGGACCTATGCCACGACCAGACAACACATGACCCATAAATACAACTTCTGACATGTTCAATTCACATTTGTCCCTGTTAAGGGTAAACCCCTTTTCATACAACACTTTTACAACATTTTCAAGACATCTATCATGTTTTGTTTGACTACTTGCATGTACAATGATATCATCCATAATATTATGCACCCCCTCACAACCCTGCAATACTTGTTGCATGACCTTTTGATACATTTCTGGGGCACAACTAATGCCAAACATAAGACGTTTGTACCTAAATAAACCCTTATGTGTTACAAAAGTAGTAATTTCTCGAGATTCAGGTTTTAACTCAATCTGATGATATGCCCAAGTAACATCAAGTTTGCTAAACACAGTACTACCATTCATTTCATGCAAAATTTCATCAATTGTCGGAATAGGGTGACGAACTCGTTGCACTGCAGTATTGGCCTGGCGCATGTCCACACAGAGTCTGATGTCATCACCTAAATGTTTGGGTACACAAACAACTGGAGATACCCATGAACACGGCTCGTCCACACGTTCAATGATGTCCAAATCGAGCAATTCATCCAACTTCTTGTCGAGTTTGTCACGCAAACTATAGGGTATACGTCTCATAGGTTGTATTACTGGCTCAACATCTGGGTCGATTGGTATTTCAAGTTGAAAAGATTTCAGCTTTCCTACACCTTTGAAGCATTTAGGGTATTTCTCAAAGACAGTTCTGTTGTCTGTATTGACAGCTTCACTAATGCTGCTAACAATCTGTAAAACACCCAACTGCACAGCTGTATCTCGACCAAGCAAGGCTTGTCCTTTCCCCTCAATGACCACGAATTCAACATCCGGAATGACAATTTGGTTGTATTTCACAGCTGCGGTGAATATTCCAGCCACTTTCAGAGGTTGTTGACTTCCATAAGCAAAAAGCTGTTTTTCAACTTTGGAAGAAACACAGTTGATGTGGTTTTCCTTCAGATAGGTCCATAATGGCATTCCCATTATATTACAACTTGCCCCCGAGTCGATGATCATGCTGAGGTCAACATCTCCAATGTTCACAACAAGGCTGTCACTTAGCACAGAATTTTGGTGGACACGAAATGCGTATACTTTGCTGTCATCACTCTGGCCTGACTGCTCCGTAATGTGACGAATATTCCCTGGTTTCCCCTTTGCTCCACGGTCTTTGGTTTTACACATTTTCTCAAAATGTCCAACCTGCTTACACTTATGACATTTCTTTCCCCTAGCAGGGCATTTAGGGTCATTCCGCAGGTGTCCTTCATAACCACAACTAAAGCATTTACCGTTTGTCTTTTTCACAAAATGTTTCTTGTTTTGCACACTAACCTTGTTTACTACACCAGTTACGGCCCCTTGCGTGCGACCCTCAATTGATGTGGCTTGTCTCTCAGAGTCTTCCATAGCTCTCGCAATTTCTCGGACTTGAGTTAGTGTAAGGTTCCTACCTTTCTCTAGTAATTTACGGCGTAAATTATGACGAACACACTTGTCAATGATTTGGTCACGTATCCTCTCATCAATCGCATCACGGTTCCCGAATTCACACGTTTCTGCTCTCTGGCGTAAACGGGTAATGTACTGTTCAATAGTTTCATGCTCTAATTGAGCCATGCTTCTAAACACAGACCTCTCGTAAGGAACATTTGCTTGCGGTTTAAAGTAATTGTCCAAGGCGTTCACCGCTTTCGCATATTCATCCTCTCCTTCTCCTTCCGGTAACGTAAAGAATATATCTTGTACGTCCATTCCTGCTGTATGGAGGAGCAACGCTTTAGCTTGATCTGCCTCCTTTACTCCTTTGCCTTTAGCATAAAGTTCGAATGCCCGACGCCATCTTTTCCATTTTGATGCAATGCCGGTCACATCTGCAACATCGAAATTCGGGATTCCCTGCACATCTGGTACCAAAACACTAGCCATCGTAAATTACTGGATGTTAAATATCCTCGTCGCCAATTTTAATGTAGCGTTCACTCTTGCTACACATACGGATTAAACCCGATCGACTTAACACTCTCGTCATTGAAGACATTCATTTATTGAACCGGAACTAAGACCAGGGTGATAACTCAACATAAAATTAAACATACAGAAATAGAGTAATCTTTCTTACATGAAACACTTACAAGTACAAACACTACAAGCGTGTTTTGAAATAAACTGATAAATGATAAAAGAAGATGGTTTTATATAATATGTATATGTATAAGCCTGAATGATCAAAGCTTCAGTAACAATTGGGCTGATGAGACATTGAGATTTCTGAGACTTCTTCATGTTTATAGTAAAACTGTCATCTTAATAGAGGCCTGTGATCTGTAGTTACTGCAATACTAGAACTTTCCTATATTAGGAGGGGGGGGGGGAGGTACATATAGCAACACTTATAGTTAAAGGAAATAAGTGAGAACTGGAGAATGTCCATATTATTTCAAGAAATCATTATGTTTCTATTCATTACATTTTTTGCTGGTGGAACTTTCTTTAACATGTGTTTAAGGAAGATTGTTGAGAATTTTTTTTTTAATTATTAGTTTTTTAAAACTCAGTTTTCTAAATCTGCGAAATTGAAAGTTTATTTCCACCTACTTTATAATGTCAGTCCAAATGACCAATTTTAAACTTAAAAAAAAAGCAAATTCACTCAGATAGTACATATTAAATGGTACATACCGGTAATTGTACATCATGTGTTCATGCCTCAAAATGAATGCTATAGGGTTTTAATTTATGGTAAATTGAACCCAATAAGAGCAGCAGTAGGTATAATAAATGATGATTAATACACTTGTGAAGGACGCAATTATATATACACATATATACTGCCTTTAAGGTAAAAAAAAATTATAAGTTAATAGCTAGGGTCTGACTAATCAGTTAGAGTAAAATATACACAAAAAAGAAAAGTTCTATTCAATTAATTTATAAGTACACTATTCCATTAATTCATAAGTAAACAATTCAATGAATTTATAAGTAGACTATTCAATTAATTTATAAATAGAATATTCAATGAATTTATAAGTAACTGTATAGACTATTCAATGAATTTATAAGTAGACTATTCAATGAATTTATAAGTAGACTATTCAATTAATTTATATATAGAATATTCAATGAATTTATAAGTAGACTATTCAATTAATTTATAAGTTATTAATAAGTAAACCATTCAATGCATTTATAAGAAGAATATTCAATTAATTTATAAGTAGACTATTAAATCAATTTATAAGTAGAGTATTCAATTAATTTATAAGTAGACTATTCAATTAATTTATAAGTAGAACGTTCTTATTCATGTTACTTGATTTGCTCTTTTCTGATAATTTTCATCTGCTGCCTCAGATGGTAAATTAACACTTTCTGCATGCTTCTTTAGCTGATCTTTTTAATTTAATTTGATTAATACCAATCTTCTCTTAACAGGGCTCTCGATTCTCTATAATTAGGGCCGTTGAACGACCTCGTTCCCAATGCAAAATCAAAGTACTGAAAGTACTGGAAAGCGCCAAGCAATGCTTGCAATTTGACATTCATCAGAATTATTTTGAATTTAAATTGCCTATTGTATTGGAATAAGTAAAATGTTGACAGTGCGAACGCTAGGGGCGAGCACAGTTGTTTGATACACATTTACTTCAAAATAAAACTTATATCCGCCTCTTCAAATCGCACGAGAATATATTTGAAGGTTCGAGACTGTGACGTCACATGACATCGTATATACGTTGCTATTTAAGTTATGTCACTCGTTAGCTTTTAAAAAAAGTTCAGTAATAACCTCTCACTTCAAAACTATTTATTACAATTTCATTTTTTACTAGTTTGCAGTTATGAGCAGCACTCGCTTCTAGTTTTCTTTTTCTTTAACATCATTAAATCTATGCAGATAGAACAAGTCTGACCTCTCTATAGGCTTTTCGTGTAATTCCGAGACGCCTCTACATTTTACATAATTAGAAATCGTCACATCCGTTGCTTTAAGTTTCAGTTTATTCTGAAACACTACAGCACTGATAACATTGTGAAGAAGAGGTGAAAACAATTTATCCTCTATAGTTAAAGAATGTCCCTATTGTTTGACAATATTTAGAAAATTTTATTTGTTTCTTCGGGGACATAAATATCAATATCTATTTATGTGTCAGGTTTAGTTCAATCTTAACGAGAGGCGCGTTACGCAATTAGATTTGCTTAGCTTGCGGTAAGCGTCCTCTGGTGAGAAATTGAGAATTTCGTGTTTTGAGAGGAAAAAAGTATTGGTTCATGGGGACTTGATTTCGTGGTTGAGGAACTGTTGAATTATTATTTATTTGAAATATAACATTTCGTGAAGGACAGGAATTCACGGTCTCCTCATACTAGCTACAAACACAACAAAAATTAATCTTCCACGAAAATTTTATACTACCCGTTCATCTATCGAAGGTTTTCTAAATTTCATGAGTCATTTTATACTACCCGTTCATCTATCGAAGGTTTTCTAAATTTAATGAGTCATTTTATACTACCCGCTCTTCTATCTAAGGTTTTATAAATTTAATGAGTCATTTTATACAACCCGCTCATCTATCGAAGGTTTTCTAAATTTAATGAGTCATTTTATACTACCCGTTCATCTATCGAAAGTTTTCTAAAAATTCCTAATTTTGAAAACTTTGAAACTATTATTGTAAAAGAAAGCCAAAAAGGGGGATAAGGAGAAAGAAAAACACTTTTTGGCAAAAATGGCCACTTATAATAGTTTTAGTTTGCAATTTTAATTTCTTAAAACAGTACTTCATTTTTATTCCTTTTTTCATTTATTTCAATCAATAAAGAGCCGCAGATCTGTTTTAGGACATAAAATTTCATTTTCAATTCCATTATTTGTATTCATCGCATGTGTACTTTTGAAACAGCATTGTTTCATTGTTTGCTTACATAAATTAAAAAAAAAAGCATTTGGGGTGAAAAATGCAATGATCCTTCATTTCTAAGGGGGCATGACCTTCCTTTTATCAAACTCTCTTTAGCTAAGAATGACACGAACTGCCTAAGGAGATGTGTGCACTGTGTTCACCGTATACTGATTAAAATTTTATTCATCAGTATGATCTGAAGCAAGCAAAACTAAAATAATTATAGATGTTGTAACTCCCATGTAAAAAAAGAAATGCGTTCACGAAGTAGCATACTTTTCTTCCTGCGTGGGACATAATTAAAGACCATGATTGCATTAATTGTTTAAGGTTTTAAGATTTTTTAAATATTTGATAACAAATTATTAAAATTAATCATAGATGGTCTCTCGTTGTTTTAACTATACTACATCTAGATACATCTACAAATTACGACGTTCCAACAAAGTTTATTATTATACGTAGGCGCTGTGCTAACGGACCCACGTAACTATCAAATAATAATTATAAATAAATATATAATATGTAATATATTTGTACTGGCTAGGATTCCCGTATGTTATACTAGTGCTGGCAAGGATTCCCCTATATAATACCCGTATTGGTTATAGGACTCCCCTGTATTATACTAGTAATGGTTAGGATTCCCCTATATTATACTAGTACTGGCTAGGATTCCCCTATATTATACTGGCTAGGATTTCCCTATATTATACTGGATAAGATTCCCCTATATTATACTGCCTAGGATATCCCTATATTATACTAGTACTGGCTAGGATTCCCCTATATTATACTGGCTAGGATTCCCCTATATTATACTGGCTAGGATATCCCTATATTATACTAGTACTGGCTAGGATTCCCCTATATTATACTGGCTAGGATTTCCCTATATTATACTGGCTAGGATTCCCCTATATTATACTGGCTAGGATATCCCTATATTATACTAGTACTGGCTAGGATTCCCCTATATTATACTGGCTAGGACTCCCCTATATTATACTGGCTAGGATTTCCCTATATTATACTGGCTAGGATTCCCCTATATTATACTGGCTAGGATATCCCTATATTATACTAGTACTGGCTAGGATTCCCCTATATTATACTGGCTAGGACTCCCCTATATTATACTGGCTAGGATTTCCCTATATTATACTGGCTAGGATTCCCCTATATTATACTGGCAAGGATTCCCCTATATTATACTGGCTAGGATTCCCCTATATTATACTGGCTAGGATTTCCCTATATTATACTGGCTAGGATTCCCCTATATTATACTGGCTAGGACTCCCCTATATTATACTGGCTAGGATTTCCCTATATTATACTGGCTAGGATTCCCCTATATTATACTGCCTAGGATATCCCTATATTATACTAGTACTGGCTAGGATTCCCCTATATTATACTGGCTAGGATTCCCTTATTTTAGTACTGGCTAGGATTCCCCTATATTATACTATTACTGGCCAGGATTCCGCTATATTATACTAGTACTGGCTTGGATTCCCCTGGCTTAATTCAAATTTGGTTTCTGTCGAAATGACGGGGTCACAACAGGAAGCCATGCTTTCACAGGGAGAAGTTTTTAGAAACAGTCTGGTCTGCAGAAGAGATTTTGATTGCAATAATTCGCCGTAAGGGAGGGGATAGGGTATAGTCTGTAATATGTACAGGGTCAGATTCTCACCTAGAAAGATTTGTTAAGAAATCATTTTTTTTTGGGGGGGGGGGGTCTCCTAATTGATTTTTTTAATTAAAAAAATATTTATTTATAATTGGAATGCCACGATTTCAGTTTTTTTACACAACTGCAAGCATATTGATATAGAATACATTCTTATCTTTGCAGTGTATAGCATCTAAGTTCAAATTAAGGTCTCTAAATGAGGTACAAAGATTACACACTATAAGGGATCTGTACACATTTTTAATTCAAATTTTCTTCTAGTAAAATATGATGATAACAAGCAGTTAAATCAAGCTCAAAAATCCATCAGAACA